CAGGTCACCTGAAGAATACACAGACATTTCAGTCACCTCTGATCCATTTCTGACACTGTCCCTTGGACAAATCCACTGCTGAGGCCAGTTTGAGTTTCAGCCACTTCCAGACACAACATTTGAGCAAAGTCACTTAAAACCTTCCCCTTGCATGCCTGCTTTTTCTGTTGGTGTCAGCACACCCTGGGCACACATCCTGGCTGCAGACAGCAGTGCTCTGGGGACACCTCAGTTCTCATGGGCACTGTTATTCATGGCTCAGCACTGGCAGCCAGGAGCTAGCACAGTAAATGCTGCACTCTGCGTTCTCATAGAAAGCCAGCAGCAGGTGTAAGGAAAGAGACTGCTTGGTTTGCACAGAGAGGAGAGCAGGGCAGGATCCAGCAGCAAAGACTGGGCTGAAGTTGGGGTGCACCCACAGCAGGGCTCTTCTGCTCTACTAAGGCAGCTGCGTGCTACAAGCCAGCTTTTGCTGAACTGTGCATCGTGCATGCCAAGAAACTTGGCATTTGGCAACACGTGTGGAGCAGGAGGACCATACCCTGCTAGGATCTGAGCACTCTGCCCCTTCCCAAACACTGCAAGGCTCCCTGACTGCTGGGAAACATCCCTCACTCTCCTCCTGCAATAGCCCATGCCTTCAGGCTTTGAGCTCGCCCTCACCACAACACATTAGTCACCAAAATGCTGCCTGCACTTGTATCTCCCTCCCTCATGCACCCCAGGCTTTATCAACAACAGCTTATCAGTAGCAGCCACTCAGAGGAGCAGCCCCACGGCACTATCGGTGACGTGAGGCAGGGCTGGATCACTGCTGTCAGCTGGTCTCACCAGGCGGATGGATCAGGCTGGTTTTGTGCCTCCAGGAAAACCCAGACCCCTCCCATGCATCATCAGAAAGACCCAGAAACAAAACCCACGCACTCTCTGCACAGAGCTGCCTGCCATTCTTCAGTCCTCCTGGCCTCGGAGTCCAACAGGAGCACTGCACACCTCTGTGAGCTCAAAAGCTCTGAGTGCAGCAATTCTGCAACAGCAAAACTCTCCCCATGTCCACCTGCAGGGGAACCACTTGGTCCTTGCAAGACTTTCACTCCTTCAGTGACTCAGCACAAGTCCCCATGCTCTGCCAGAAGTAAAACACATTAAATAATCAGTACCTGGAAAGACAGAGCCTGCAGAGTCTCTCCCATTCGCAGGCTGTTTTTCTCCTGCCCCAGCTGGTGAGGAGTCAGAGCCCTGCACGGCTTCTTTCAATCTCACAATTGAGAGCTCTCAGAAGAGAACTTGGAAACAAACTCCCTTTACAATTAGCAGAAGTCCTGGCCCAAACACATCACCTCAATATTTAAATACAAAACCACGTTCAATCTTTGGTTTGTCAAAAGTTTTCATTGAAGCTGCCCATATCCTTCCCAGATCTACAGCGTTAGCTTCGCACCTCCACGATTTTTCTTCCATCTATTTTGCACAGCCTTGAATAAGACAGGAGTTTTCAAGAATTTCTTCATGCCTTTAAGATCAGGGGTGTATCTGAAGGAAGCAGGGCTGGCTCTTCTAAAGGTAGATACAGCCTAACCAAGTCCAGCCAGTATTTCTTTGTCACCAATGCATTTGCCTGTAGTTCTGACCCAATTCTGCAAGCTGCTCTGCTGGTGAAATCTGACAGTGGCAGCACTTAGGAATGTACCTGTACACTTGGAAGTGCTTCTTGGACTGTATTCTTTAAGGACCAGACCTTGCAGCCCAACCTGCATGTTGTACTTCTGGGGACAACGGCGTCTTCTGTGCAAAAGAAGGAGCCAAACTGGTCAGCTAACAGTGTGTGTAAAGCAATAACTGAACATAAACGGTATATTTTTATAGGGTTCATTTGTTTCTGTGTAAAAACAATAACAAATATCAGAATGTGTGTTTCTATTTCAAAATGCTATTTATATACAGAGATGCAATTTATTGTGTGCTTTCTCATTGGCAGAACAGCAGATAATTCACACACTTCAGAGAAACTAATTGCTCTCAGTGTGTGAGAGCAGGAAGGGAGCACCAAAGTAGATCTGTGCAGCAGGGTGCACAAATTAATCCTGAAAATGATGCCCAGTGGGAATATTCTCACCTGCCAGCCTGGTCTGGGGCCCAGGGATGAGTGAGTCAAGTTACCAGGAAAGAGAGGAAATATCCTACCTAGGTGATGTAAAGCGAAATGAAAGGCTGACCACATCCTGGTAACATTAATTAAAAATAACACCCCGACACAGGAAATTAAACCTTTCACGTGAGGCGCCAATTAAATCTGTGAACCCGCTTCAGGAAAAAAAAATCATAAAAATCAGAAACTATGTAAATAAGCCGGATTAAAGTCCAAGGCGCCTCCTCTCGATCTCCACACGGGCAGACGTCTGACCCTCTGCCTGCAATGCACTGCCAAGGACAGGGCCTGGTACCAGGACGGGCTCTCAGGGCAGCGCTGCCCTCAGATGATGTCTCCCACACCCACAGCCAGCTCCCTCAAGAGCAGCAGTTCACTCACCGCTGCCTTTCACCTGCAAATGCTGTTTCACTTGTGCACAGGGACTCTCATTCCTGCAACCTTAGCACTAGCCTTACAGTACATGAGATATTAAACTTTTGCAGCTGTGTGTAGTGCAGCACACCCCAGACCCTATTTATAAAAGAAGTGTTCAGCAGTGATGAAGACAAACATTCCTGGATACAGGCGGCATCAGCAGAGACCAAACACTGCAGCATCCTGTTAGCAACCAGTGTCAGCCAAGAGATGATACAAACATGAGCTTTTCAGTGAAGAATTTTTAATGCACTGGTAGATTCTCATCACGCTGTAAATTTTAAAATAGTCTGTAGTAAATGATGGAAAGTAACCCTTTAAATACCCGAGCTTTTCTGTGTGTACTCTACACTTCTTTTGCCTGCTTTTTCTGTATGCTTTAGTCCTACACCACATCAAAACCTGCTGGTAACCACCTGTGGCTCGTCTTGAACACTTCCAGGGACTCAGGGGAAGGAGACTTGATGGCTGTGCTGGGCCCTGCCCATGACAGTAAGGCTTTCACCATAAACAGACAACACGAAATGAGAAAGTTGCAAGATGTTAAGATTTGAATGCTGTAAGACCAAAGACTTCAGAGTCGTTTTCTCACCACTGCATTCTGCTCCACGCTCTTAATAAAAGTGGGGTTAATGCTAGCTAGGAGGTCTTCAGCCCCTGTGTGCAGCAGAACCCTTCTGCCTCTCTCCCTCCAAGTGCCCTGGCAACACCTGCTTCTTGTTAGCAAAACAAATAAACAGTTTGTTTCTAACCACAAGTATAACTCTCTACCGCTGACATTTCTTTGCACGTCTCAGACCGCAGCTTCCTTTTGAAACCCTAAACTTACATGCTCCCTCAGTTCTTTAGTAAGACTGTAGAAAGATGAGAAAAACAAGCAGCCGTGCAGAGACAGAAGCGACAGTATCTACAGCAACAGCTGAAACAAAAACTAATGCAGGGGTTGTGAAATTCGCCGTGCAGGGACACTCAAACAGGCTGAGTGGTACATATTGATGGTGAAATAAATCTCACGAGTGAGGCGTCAGCTCCCAGGCAGAGCTCGTGCTCCCAGCCACCAATTCCCATGGCACTTCCCAGGCAGAGGCAAACCCTGGCAGCGGTGCTCTGCTCCTGACACCTCTGTCTCAGGAGGCCGTGGGAACAGCTGATAAGAGTTTTGAAGATGCAATACTGGCATTCATGCCCTGCTGTACAAGATCTGCAGGGCAGCGGGTGATGGCACCAAGATGCAGGTGGGCGAGCAGCGAAAGAGCCCTGCAGCAGGGTGCCAACAGCACGGCTGCTGAAGGAGAAGAAAGAAAAGTTTGGCTATTGGCTTCTGGGACTGCCCAGACCTGAGAGCTTTCAGCGTGGCACACCGCAGCTCACACCTGCGAGCTGGGCACAGCACAGAGGACACCTATCTGAGCTCCCCAGGTGCCCATGGCACTGGCACAGTCCAGAAACCCGCCCAGTTTCACAGCCTGCGTTAGGTAAACTCTTCCTCTCTACACCTCCTCATCTTCCTCCGCTCCTTTCCACTCACAGCCCCGCTGCACGCCGCGCTCCCCCCCCCCTCCCGCCGGGGTGCAGCTCAGAGCCGGGGCCGGGCGGCGCTGCGCAGCCCGCTGGCGCCCCCTGCTGGCCGCCTCCGCGGGGCTCCCGGATGGCAAAGCGGAGCCCAGCGTTGGGGGGGAAGCCGGCACTCCGGCCGAGCTCTCAGCGATGCTTTCAGCTCTTCATACGGTATTTTTAAGGCTGAAGACACTGTGGGGTTGCTGCTGCCCTTACCCGCACACCCCGTCACCATGCAAATCTGATTGTTTGAGCGTGACATGCCTAGCAAAGTCTGACGCTTGATAGCTTTATCAGGGAAGGGCCAAAGAGCGTAATTAGGACTGGCACAGTTCACTTACCAGGGAGCCCTGCTGTGATCAGCGGGCCAACCCACGCTCTGAGCGTGGCACGGGTCACTGAAACTACCAGACTTACAGCTCACCTCTCACATGTCAGGAAGTTTTTAGCAGGTAAAAAACACGCTGCTGTTTGTTAGGGACTCCCCTCTTGGTTTTATTTGCATGTGACACTCAGCAGAAGAAAGGGTGTCTGAGCAGCACGGTTCCACTCAGAATTTAGCACCACGGCATTCCTGTTAAAATCTTTAGCACCACAGCAGAATCAGTGCCACTCGTGTGCCCACCTTCTGCGAAGATTAGATAGCAATGAAGTGGAAATACATCCATCTTCTATCGCATAGCCATAAAACAAACTAAAAAGCAGTAACCCTGCTCACCTTCCACCACACTTCCGCAGCAAACAGAATAGAACAAAACAATTCCATTGGAAGGGACCTCAAAGACCATCATGTTCAACTGAAGCTGACTGTTTCTGTTTTGAAAGTCATCTGAGTTTTCAAGGCACACAAAGTCATTGCTGTAAGACAACACAGTACCTTCTGTCACAGGAGTTTGTCCAAAGGAAATTCCAAGACTCAGCTGGATGGAGGCGTAGCACAGCTATCCTCACAAAAAGCATCTCCTGGTTTTTGTCCCCTGAGATAAACAAACAAATAAAGAACCATTGATGACAAGGCTATTTTCAGGAAACAAGTGGAAATACAGAGAAAAGGTGTGAACACGCAGGGTCATTTTTACTAAGGAAATGTTCAGTGTTGAGCCGGACAGCCTGAGCCTCCAGGCAATTAGCCTACGTGGTTTGGGTTGTTGGTTTTTTTTTTGGTTCACAGAAAGGACAATAAGAAATGTAGGTGCTTGAATCTGCTGCTGATTGCTAGGGGGCAAAGTCGTCTTGGCCCTATGGATATTAGAATAGGCTCAGCAAAATACCTAATGAACAGCACCACAAGAAAAACACCACTATGGGCGAATAGCAAATTTTATTACTGTACTTGCCCTAATTGTTTTCTCAACTTTCACTTGACAAGAACATAAATCCCACATTATTATGCTCAACAAAAGGCAAAACACCTCTCTGTCCACTGCAGTTATTGAGGGAGTTTATTTCTCATGCACACTGGCTGACAGTATAGCCTTTACAGAGTAATTCCACCAGCTCCTGAAGCACCAGGCTGCTGCTCTCAGATCACCCTGCCATCTGCAATGGGACCACTTCAGTGAATAAAAGCTACAGAATCAGCTACAGGAGCTGGCATTTGGGCTTGCAAGAGACTGACCTTTAAAGTGTCTTCACACCTGTTCTCTCCAGCACTAAGCACTGGGAACAGGCTTTTAACAGACATCTCCACCTTGATTACTGGCCAACTCAAATCTCAAGTTCCCTCTGTTTATCACCTAACAGCATTAAGTACCTGAGTCAGTCTGTAGGCTCACAGTGTGCCCATTTACTTGAGAAGCACACGCTGTATCTGCAACTGGAATAGGTTCTGGGATCTGTACGGTCAGTCCACAGCAAAAGGCTTCACTGTACTCCTTCAGCCATCTCCTGCCATCTTCTAAACGGAGTTCTTGAACAGACCTGTACAAGGAATTCAGAATGGCACGAAGTTATTAAAATGACATTAAATTATTAATTACCTTGCAGCAGAATAAGCCAATCAACTCGCTTAACAGCTTTTCTCAGAGCTGCAATATTCCCACTTATTGCGATTTTTAATGAATTTCAGTCCGTTTCATGGCACAAAAATACACAGACCAGCTGCTGTGCAGTACTGTAACATGTAACACAACATAGAGGCTTCAAAGATCTCGTTGTGTTGATATCTCCCATCTTTACCAACCCTGCAGCAGCACTCTGCCCATCACAGAAGTACAAATGTTCACCAACGACGGCTGCAACGCTGCACACCAAGGCCACACAACAAGAGCTTGCCTATCTGCCATCACACCCAACTGGGCCACCAGCAGCATCACTCCCCTCAGCATGGGACAGAACCCCAACAGGACCACCCACATCTCAACACAACCATCCCACATCCCAACACATCCCATCCCACATCCCAACACATCCCAACACATCCCATCCCATCCCACATCCCAACACATCCCATCCCATCCCACATCCCAACACATCCCATCCCACATCCCAACACATCCCATCCCATCCCACATCCCAACACATCCCATCCCATCCCACATCCCAACACAACAATCCTCCTCCCCCCCCCCCAAGCTGTGCAGTAGCTGCCCTGACTGCACTTGGGATTTGTTTTCCAGCACTCACTGACGGCAGGAGCGCAATTACTCGCTTTACATGTCCGCGTGAGAGAGAGGAGCGTATTTTATTAACGGAATTCATTCCACAGCTATGAAGACAACCAAGCAAACGCTAACGCGCGTACACAGCAACTGATCGGCACCAGTGCAGGCGTCACACGGACCACTACTAAACGAAGAGCTGCGGATGGAATACCCGAAACAGAATCGCTGTGTCCGTGCGGCGAGGAACGGACCTGCGGACCGGACCCACGCGGGACCCACACGGACACGGAGCCCCGCAGCCGGAAAAGGCCCCACCGCCCCGGAGCCGCCCTCGGCCCCGCCCGCCCCTCCGCCCCTTCCCCCGCACGGGCGGAGCCGGGCACGCCGACCTTCCGCCTCCGAGCCGGGCAGCGCGTTAAGGCTGCGGAGCTTAAGGCAGAAGGTGGTGATTCCTGCGCTGCCCAGGATAAGCGCGCCCATCCATGGGTTTCTTTCTCTTGTGCGGAGCATCGCAGCTCCTGGATTCTGGGTTCTGTAGGTGTGTTGTCTGTGTTTCCCTGCCAGGAGCTGCACGGCCCCACAGCTTCTGTTTCTTTGGTGTTTGCATTAAAACAAGAAACAAAAGGCAGGTCACGATCACGGAATCACGGACTGTCCCGAGGTGGAAGGGACCCATAAAAATCACTGAGAAAGAGGAAGAATCCAGCCCACAGATCCAAACTGTGTTCTGTTGCTTGTTTGTTTCTTGATGTTTTCATTCTCCCAGACATCTGAGAGACACAAACCAGAGAACAGACAGGATCCCAGCTCTCCCAGTGCCAAGATGGGGATTTAATTTCACACTTAGAGCTCCGTCCCGGTGCGGGATGTTATCTGCTGTGCTGACTGAGCACAGCTGCTATATTTAGTGCTCAGATCTCCTGCACTTCAGTCCTGTGCTTGGACCACAGCACTGCTCCCTCTGCCCCTCTGAGATGATTTTGTCTGAAGCAAACAGGGGCGGTTTGGATGCATGCAACGCCCCCAGCCCTCATCATTTCCAGGCACGCTGCTGAGCGTACTTGCAAACATCAGCAGGCAGTTCTTTGGACAGGGTTGAGAGCAGCAAACAATCTCACCATTTATGTGTGCTATGGATCCGCTGTTTCTCGTGGTAATGATTTCAGCTCTGACCTGTTTGACAGACTTTGCATTAAGAGCTGGATTTACCTGCGCCGAGTGAGACGTGGGAATGGAGAGACACCCAGGTCTGCAAGAAATGCAAGCAGAATGATGGAGAAAAAATTAGTCCACACTACAGAAGTCCATGATCCAAAGAGCTGCAGCTAAGGAAATGGGAATTCAAATGAGGATTCTGTCAGTTTTTTGCTTGTAAGGAACTGTAAAATGTGGGGTTATTTCCTATATCATTGCCAAGACCTGGAGCCCTTCTGCAGTGGTCACTGCAAAAGTGAATGTGGAACTGGACTGATGAAACCCAGCCACAAAGAGCCGCTGGAGGACCTGCACAGAAAGTGATCCTTCACGAGAAGACAGAGCAGACCTTTTCTCCAGGAGTCTGAGTGCTCTGCAGAACTTATCTCAACATGCTGCCCGTCCCTCAGTAAGGAAGGTGGCACGCAGGCTGGAGGTGATTTCATTTCACTCAAGGTGTGTGAAGTGACACAGCCTGGGAGAAAGCAGCCCGACCAAGGAGTGACTCACATGAGCAACCTGGGACACAGCTTCAGGCTGAGAACTGCTCTCTGCAGTGGTTTTTCTCTCCTTGATGATGGAAGCTGACCCTCGTTCAGTTAGCTGCTATAAACACTGCTTAAATTTGGGCAGTAGCTCTGATCCAAGGAAAGCTGCCCTGCACAGAGCTGCTCCAACACCAAGGGCAGCCAAAGGTGTAAGCGAAGGTGTGATGCTGCACGTCCCCCTGTGCTTTGGTATAATGACAGACATTTGTCTTGCTGCAAGCAAATGATACAGGGCACAGAAAATAAAGCCTGGCTCCAGCTAAAGGCTCGGCTGTCAGCCAGATGCTTTCACATTCGATCCTTGCTTCTGTCAAGGGAAATATAAAACATTTTACCTTGCTAGTCTTAGTGAGGAGCTACTTCTGACAATTGATTTGCATCTCACATGTATAAATACTCTCCGTGTGTTTATGCTACTCTTGCAGGAAAATGGGGTTTCCTTTCTGAAGGAGGAAATCTGTGTCAATCAGTGCTTTGTCTTGACAAAGAAACAGACAGGGTGACTTGCTGCTGACGTTCATCCATTGAAAAGATGTTCCCTTGCCTCGCTGGCATCCACAACTAAAAGATAGTAGGGATGATTATGCACCGATTTATTACACAATGAATGGCAACATTTCACTTGGAACAAAGGATCTGCTGCGTTCTGAAAAACGTGTTTCTCCCTCAGTATTGCAGAGTCACGTAGACAGAGCACCCTTTGCAGCAGAAGGCAGGTTTGTGGTGCCCAGGTGATAAAACTGGAAGCTCTGAGAGTATTTTTTTAAAGGTGTAACTTAAAGTTCACAGCTGCAGGTTGCAAGCGTGGATCCCCCCATCAGCTCACAGCAGTGCTGTGCACACAGCTCCTGCGTCACACTGAAGACAGCAGCTCTGATGCCCATCGCTTTGCTGTGCCTGGTCTGAATCACATCCCCTTTTCTCCTCAACGTTTTGTAAGAGGGGAAGGGAGAGAGGGTGAAAGACAGTCTGCTTGGGTCATCTGCATGAAGAAGAGGAAGTTTTTCCCTTAATTCTAGACAGTTTTTTTAGCAAATGTCAGACATGAGCTAAACAGGCTGCCACTGCTCAAGGCCTGCTCAGCTTGCTCAGCTTTCTCCCCTGCAAATCCTAACATTAACTCTTTGAAAATGCTGGTTGTTTTGGAGGTTTGCTGTTTGCTTGTTTCCTCTTTCTTCAGGAAGAAGAGAGGCTTCAATGGGAAATGGTCATCAATTGGTAGCTGCTTCTGTGACTAGATGTGGATTAATGTAGAAGAATCAAGCTCATACAGAAAATAGTGCAAACCATTACACCTAGGCAACCCCAGAAGGCCTGCATCATTTATAGATATTGCCTTTTCTTTCTATAGAAGCTTAAAACCATTCTCAACCAAAGACTGCAGGTACACAGAGCACTCAAAGTCGAGCCTGCTGTCAGGCTGCTGAGCACACATACTAATTGTGGAAGTGCTGACTGACTTAATAGCCTGATGTGAGTTGCTGGCCATTAATGACACAGGGTTGGTGTCATCCCACAAATGTCATTTGCATGGTATATGATCAGTGTGGAAACAGTCATTCATCATCTCAAGTCTGCATGGGGGAGTTTCAGTGTTAAGATACACACCCTTTTTTTCCTCTACTGTTTCCCCTTTTGAATCTGAGAAAGAAGTAGCTTCCTTTAACATAAGTTGACTGTCTTCCAGGTTTTGGCCAACAAGAACTAGAGAACACAGGGCAGAGCCTTTACCATGGCTCAGAGACATCAGACCTCTGATCCTGGATAGGGGAAAGAAATGGAAACCTAACAAGGCTGCAAGCATTTTGACTGTAAGTCTTGCTACCTGTCAATGGGGAGAGGCCTGGGAACACAGCACAGCATCTTCTACACTGGCAAGATACAGGATCCTTTACATTGAACACTGGATTCAAAGACAGCAGATACTGAGAGGCACAGAGTTTTATGCTTCCTCTGAAGTCCTAAATTAATCAATGCTAGCTGGCCTTGATCAGTGTCATCTCACTGATCCATATTACGTCATGTTTTAAACTCTCCAGAGAAATTAGGTTTATGCACTTACTGTGTATGCTGACAAACATGTCCCTACCTTATCCTCCCATGCCCTGCAGCCCTTGTTGCCTGCAGAACAAATGTACATCTTGCTAGTGACAGCCAGTAGCTGGGAAGACAAGCCCTCTGAATTTCACCCTTTGTATGAAGGCACAGGTTGGAAGTTGCTCTGAGCCAGAACCCTCCTCAGAGCAGCCTACATCAAATTCAGGCTTGTCAAACCGAGTGCTCAGCAATTAATCAAACTGTTCCACTTTCTCTTGAGGAGCAAAGCAGACACAGCAACGTGGTCTCCAGTGCCCCTGAGTGCATGTGTGAGCGGTGACCATTTCTAACATCTCAAGCGTGCACTTCTGCTGGGGGTTTTGATTCCTTATCTTCAAGTCATCACAGCTCGTTTACTGAATTCACATGCAAGGATTTTGACTCTGCCACAGCAATTTTCACAAGCCAGACTGGGAAGCTCACAATAGAGCCTTCCAAGAGCTTTCCTTTTAGCAATAAGGAGCAAGAAGCACGGAGCCCAGACAGCTGCTAAAAATGGAAGTTGCACTCAACCAAGAAAAAACATTTTGTCCCTCAGTAAGCGTGCATAAAAGCACAAGGGAAGAACGCAGAATAATTTGCCACAATCCAATACTATCTAAATTAGACACAAAATGACCCACCCTACTGCAGGACCTTGTGGGACTCCTTGGACCGAGTTCACTGAGTAATTTCCATACAGTTGTAAAGAGCTTGTGTGCATTAGGCAGTAACTCAGCAGTAACTCGCACCAGAGCAGACTCATCCCATTTCCACCCATATCCCCAACACTGCTCCCACCTGGCAGCTGCTGCTCTAGCACTTTGCCATTCAGCCACTCCAGAGCAGACTGTCCATGTCAGCTCCTCACCAAGGCTCTGGATGTCAGCTCCAGGAGCAGCCATGCTCAGCTCAAGCAGTGAGCAGGGCTGTTCCAGCACAGCTTCACTTGATTTTGGTTCCCTTGTGTCAGTTATTGTGTAATCACCAACTAACAGGAAGGAAGAGGCTCAAAAACCCAACCTACATGCAGTGCAATTAGGTGTTCTGTTAAATAATTTATCAAATGCAACAAGACTTCTGCTTGCTCACAGACCCAGTCACAGCCCTTCTCTGCCCACATGGCTCTCCCTGCTGCTGCCAGACACAGCACACAGCCATGTTACCAGAGCCCACAGGTTACTGCTCAGTAGTCCATTACCAGCCCTGGCTCTGCTAACAGAGCTCACGTCCCAGCAGCATGCATATTTCAGAAATAGTCACTCAGCGTTACCAGCACTTCTGTTACAACTCCAATGTATCCTCAGGCAGGTCCTCCCAATAAGGAAAAGCTATTTCTAATGACAGCTTTATTCAACAAGGCCATAACCTGGGTGAACCTTGCTGCAGTTCCTCTGCGGCACCACCCTGCTCTCTGGATATTGTTTTATTCCATATGCAACTGAGAGCATCTCAGAAAACAAGACGTACAAAAACAAGATCTCGACATCATTAAAAAG